AGCAAAGTAGTGCAATAAAAACAACACAGAGTTACATATGGGGTAAAAAAAACATAAAGTCAGAAATACAACAGAAAATATATATACAGTGTGTGCAAATTTAGCAAGTTATGGAGGTAAGGCAATAAATAGGCTATAGTGCAGAATAATTACAATAGTATTAACACTGGAATGCTAGATGTGCAAGAGATGATGTGCAAATAGAGATACTGGGGTGCAAAAGAGCAAAATAAATAACAATATAGGGATGAGGTAGTTGGGTGGGCTAATTTCAGATGGGCTGTGTACAGGTGCAGTGATCGGTAAGGTGCTCTGACAACTGATGCTTAAAGTTATTGAGGGAGATAAGAGTCTCCAGCTTCAGAGATTTTTGCAATTCGTTCCAGTCATTGGCAGCAGAGAACTGGAAGGAATGGCGGCCAAAGGAGGTGTTGGCTTTGGGAATGACCAGTGAGATATACCTGCTGGAGCGCAGACTACGGGTGGGTGCTGCTATGGTGACCAATGAGCTAAGATAAGGCGGGGATTTGCCTAGCAGTGATTTATAGATGGCCTGGAGCCAGTGGGTTTGACGACGAACATGTAGTGAGGACCAGCCAACAAGAGCGTACAGGTCACAGTGGTGGGTAGTGTATGGGGCTTTGGAGACAAAACGGATGGCACTGTGATAGACTACATCCAATTTGCTGAGTAGAGTGTTGGAGGCTATTTTGTAAATGACATCGCCGAAGTCAAGGATCGGTAGGATAGTCAGTTTTACGAGGGCATGTTTGGCAGCATGAGTGAAGGAGGCTTTGTTGCGAAATAGGAAGCCGATTCTAGATTTAACTTTGGATTGGAGATTCTTTATGTGAGTCTGGAAGTTGAGTTTACAGTCTAACCAGACACCTAGGTATTTGTAGTTGTCCACATACTCTAGGTCAGACCCGTCGAGAGTGGTGATTCTAGTCGGGTGGGCGGGTGCCAGCAGCGTTCGATTGAAAAGCATGCATTTAGTTTTACTAGTGTTTAAGAGCAGTTGGAGGCTACTGAAGGATTGTTGTATGGCATTGAAGCTCGTTTGGAGGTTTGTTAACACAGTGTCCAATGAAGGGCCAGATGTATACAAAATGGTGTCGTCTGCGTAGAGGTGGATCTGAGAGTCACCAGCAGCAAGAGCGACATCATTGATATACACGGAGAAAAGTGTCGGCCCAAGAATTGAACCCTGTGGCACCCCCATAGAGACTGCCATAGGTCCAGACAACAGGCCCTCCGATTTGACACACTGAACTCTATCTGAGAAGTAGTTGGTGAACCAGGCGAGGCAGTCATTTGAGAAACCAAGGCTATTTAGTCTGCCAATAAGAATGCGGTGGTTGACAGAGTCGAAAGCCTTGGCCAGGTCGATGAAGACGGCTGCACAGTACTGTCTATTATCAATCGTGGTTATAATATCGTTTAGGACCTTGAGTGTGGCTGAAGTGCACCCGTGACCAGCTCGGAAACCGGATTGCATAGCGGAGAAGGTACGGTGGTATTCGAAATGGTCGATGATCTGTTTGTTAACTTGGCTTTCGAATACTTTCGAAAGGCAGGGCAGGATGGATATAGGTCTGTAGCAGTTTGGATCTAGAGTGTCACAGGTTGCCATACCAGGCGGTGATGCAACCAGTCAGGATGCTCTCGATGGTGCAGCTGTATAATTTTTTGAGGATCTGAGGACCCATGCCAAATCTTTTCAGTCTCCTGAGGGGGAATAGGCTTTGTCGTGCCCTCTTCACGACTGTCTTAGTGTGTTTGGACCATGATAGTTCGTTGGTGATGTGGACACCAAGGAACTTGAAGCTCTCAACCTGTTCCACTACAGCCCCGTCGATGAGAATGGGGGCATGCTCAGTCCTCTTTTTTTTTTTTTCTGTAGTCCACAATCATCTCCTTTGTCTTGATCACGTTGAGGGAGAGGTTGTTATCCTGGCACCACAAGGCCAGGTCTCTGACCTCCTCCCTATAGGCTGTCTCGTCGTTGTCTGTGATCAGGCCTACCACTGTTGTGTCGTCGCAAACTTAATGATGGTGTTGGAGTTGTGCCTGGCCATGCAGTCATGGGTGAACAGGGAGTACAGGAGGGGACTGAGCACGCACCCCTGAGAGGCCCCCGTGTTGAGGATCAGCAGATGTGTTGTTACCTACCCTTACCACCTGGGGGCGGCCCGTCAGGAAGTCCAGGATCCAGTTGCAGAGGGAGGTGTTTAGTCCCAGGGTCCTTAGCTTAGTGATGAGCTTTGTGGGCACTATGGTGTTGAACGCTGCTGAGCTGTAGTCAATGAATAGCATTCTCACGTAGGTGTTCCTCTTGTCCAGGTGGGAAAGGGCAGTGTAATAGAGATTGCGTCATCTGTGGATCTGTTGGGGCGGTATGCAAATTGGAGTGGGTCTAGGGTTTCTGGGATAATGGTGTTAATGTGAGCCATGACCAGCCTTTCAAAGCACTTCATGGCTACAGACGTCAGTGCTACGGGTCGGTAGTCATTTAGGCAGGTTATCTTAGAGTTCTTGGGCACGGGGACTATGGTGGTCTGCTTGAAATGATGAGCAGCTGTTCCATAAGGTGTGTTTTTATGGGTTTTTTAAATCTGATTTTACTGTTTGCATCAGTTCCCTGATGTGGAATCGAGTTCCATGTAGCACTGAACAAAAATATAAATGCAACATGCAACAATTTCAAAGATTTTACTGAGTTACAGTTCATAGAAGGAAATCATTTTTCGACCCAACGTGGTGATGATGAACATGAATTTCTCTGGTCCCTACTGTTGCAGTGGCGCTATGCTGTCAAATCCTCCCACTTTGACCAGCTGTTTTCAGCAGCTGGTATTTTTTAATTTGGTTGGCATATTGGCAGGTTTGCTAGCAACTAACTATACTGAACCAAAATATAAACGCAACATGCAACAATTTCAAAGGTTTTACTGAGTTACAGTTCATAAGGAAACCAGTCAATTGACATATAGGCCCTAATCTATGGATTTCACATGACATGGAATACAGATATGCATCTGTTGGTCACAGATAACTTAAAGGTAGGGGCGTGGATCAGAACACCAGTCAGTATCTGGTGTCACCATTTGCCTCATGCAGCGCGACACATCTCCTTCGCATAGAGTTGATCAGGCTGTTGATTGTGGCCTGTGGAATGTTGTCCCACTCCTCTTCAATGCCAGTGTGAAGTTGCTGGATATTGGCGGGAACTAGAACAAGCTGTCATACACGTCGATCCAGAGCATCCCAAACATGCTCAATGGGTGACATGTCTGGTGAGTATGCAGGCCAACTGGGATGTTTTCAGCTTCCAGGAATTGTGTACAGATCCTTGCGACATGGAGCCGTGCATTATCATGTTGAAACATGAGGTGATGGCGGCGGATGAATGGCACGACAAATTGCCATAGATAAAATGCAATTGTGTTCGTTGTCCGTAACTTATGCCTGCCCATACCATAACCCCACCTCCACCATGGGGCACTCTGTTCACAACATTGACATCGGAAAACCGCTCTCCCACACGACGCCATACATACGGTCTGCCATCTGCCCGGTACAGTTGAAACCTGTGAAGAGCACACTTCTCCAGCATGCCAGTTGCCATCAAAGGTGAGTATTTGCCCACTGAAGTCGGTTACGACATCGAACTGCAGTCAGGTCAAGACCCTGGTGGGGACAGTGAGCACGCAGATGAGCTTCCCTAGACGGTTTCTGAAAGTTTGTGCAGACATTTTTTGGTTGTGCAAACCCACAGTTTAATCAGCTGTCTGGGTGGCTGGTCTCAGACGATCCAGCAGGCGAAGAAGCCGGATGTGGAGGTCCTGGGCTGGCGTGGTGACACGTGGTCTGCGGTTGTGAGGCCGGTTGGACATATTGCCACATTTTCTAAAATGATGGAGGCGACTTATGGTAGAGAAATGAACATTCAATTCTCTTGCAACATCTCTGGTGGACATTCCTGCAGTCAGCATGCCAATTGCACTCTCCCTCAAAACTTGAGACATTTTAGAGTGGTCTTTTATTTTCCCCAGCACAAGCTGCACCTGTGTAATGATCATGCTGTTTAATCAGCTTCTTGATATGCCACACCTGTCAGGTGGTTGGATTATCTTGGCAAAGGAGAAATGCTCACTAACAGGGATGTAAACAAATTTGTGCACAGCATTTTCGACAAATATGCTTTTTGTGCGTATGAAACTATTTCAGCCAATGAAACTTTGTGTCGCAGTGATTTCACTTGCTGTGGTAGCTTACGTTTATAGTGTTGAGTCATCCGCATACATAGACACTCTGGCTTTACTCAGAGCCAGTGGCAGGTCATTGGTAAAGATTGAAAAAAGTAAGGGGCCTAGACAGCTGCCCTGGGTAATTCCTGATTCTACCTGGATTATGTTGGAGAGGCTTCCATTGAAGAACACCCTCTGTGTTCTGTTAGAAAGGTAACTCTTTATCCACATTATAGCAGGGGGTGTAAAGCCATAACACAAGTTTTTCCAGCAGCAGACTCTGATCGATGATGGTGATGATGGTAGTAATGGGCCACATTCCAGAGCTTCGACGTTGCTGACGCCTGACAGATCTTACAACGCCTGGATAGGGATTTTTTAAGTATCAGCTAACCACATATGTTATAGCAATCTGTCAGTCGATGACACAGGCGACGACATGGCACGCAAACATTGGTTCTTGTGTCGCCTCGCCTTAGCTGTGGAATGCGCCCTTGATGGTGTTGATGATTGGGATGGTGGTGATGGTGGTGATTGTGATGATGGTGGTGATTGTGATGATGTTGGTGATTGTGATGATGTTGGTGATTGTGATGATGGTGGTGATGGTGTTGATGATGATGTCTGATGTCTAATAATGTGTGTTCTCTCCCCCAGGTGTCAGGCCCAGGCCCAGCCCCCCTCCCTGTCTCCGCCCCTAACCCTGCCCCCAACCCGGTGCCGGGGGAGGAGTCTGTTGGATATTTGAATATGGGGTTCTCTGCCCCGCCCCCCTCCAGCCCGCTGAGCTCCAGAGGAGTAGAGGACATGTAAGGACAGACTAGAGGCTCTTATTGGCTGGATGTTTCTACGTTATTATTGGCTGTTAACCCTGAAATTTGCGCTGGAACATTTCTGTAGGTCCCACCAGAGACCCCCTACCTGTCACAACCCCAGTATGAGGAGAGAGCAGGACCGTCTGGACTCCTTCCACTCCTGGCACCTGTCCATCATCACCCCCTCTGAGCTGGCCAAGGCTGGTTTCTACTACCTGGGACAGGGCGACCGCGTGGCCTGCTTCACCTGTGGAGGACAGGTACTGTACAGGTCACTCTTAAATTACGGTGGCATTTGCAACCATGAAGAAATACTTTAAAATTACAAATAGTTACACATCGTTTGTGTTTATATTGTTTTACTCTCTACAAACAAAGGCCCTTGGATCTTCAGACAAAGCCTCATTTTCAGATGAATTGATGTTGTGATTGATTTACTGACTCCTCTCTGTGTGTCTCTAGCTCAGTAACTGGGAACCAGGGGACCGGGCCGTGTCGGAGCACCAGAGGCATTACCCCAACTGTCGCTTCGTCAGAGGAGACCGGGCCGACAACGTGTCCCTGGCCGGGGGGGTGGGGGGAGTCGGGGGGGTCGGGGTGGTGGGGGTTGTAGCAGGTACCTCTCAGCCCACCGGGACAGCAGCCCCGGCCCCCGGCCCCCCCGGCCCCCCGGGCCTCAGTAACGTGTCTAACCCAGCCATGCTGCAGCGTGAGGAGAGGCTGCTGACCTTCGTCCACTGGCCCTTACGGATCCCTGTTCGCCCTGATCAGCTGGCCAAGGCAGGATTCTACTACGTCGGTAAGAGAAAGACTTATCATTATTTATTTGTGTTTAATGTATTTAATTATTTATTACATTTTTTTATTACATGTTTATTTATATTAAATATTTATTTTGGATGTATTTAATGCTGCAATATGTATCTTTTTGGGCAACCTGACCAAATCCACATAGAAATGTGAGTTATAGATCTGTCATTCTCATTGAAAGCAAGTCTAAGAAGCGGTAGATCTGTTCTATGTCCACTATTTCTATGTTTCTCGTTCTTATGTTTAGTTTTAGCGTATTTTACTTTCGATTTTGTACACCAGCTTCAAACATCTGAAAACACTATTTTTGGTTATTGGAAATATATTTCACAGTGGTTTAGATGGTACAATGACTCTCTACACTCGTTACCAGTCCCTCTACACTCGTAACCAGTCCCTCTACACCTCGTAACCAGTCCCTCTACACCTCGTAACCAGTCCCTCTACACCTCGTAACCAGTCCCTCTACACCTCGTAACCAGTCCCTCTACACCTCGTAACCAGTCCCTCTACACCTCGTAACCAGTCCCTCTACACCTCGTAACCAGTCCCTCTACACTCGTAACCAGTCCCTCTACACCTCGTAACCAGTCCCTCTACACCTCGTAACCAGTCCCTCTACACCTCGTAACCAGTCCCTCTACACCTCGTAACCAGTCCCTCTACAACCTCGTACCCAGTCCCCTACAACCGCTTAACCATCCCTCTACACCTCGTAACCAGTCCCTCTACACCTCGTAACCAGATCCCTCTACACCCTCGTAACCAGTCCCTCTACACCGTAACCATCCCTCTACACCTCGTAACCAGTCCCTCTACACTCGTAACCAGTCCCTCTACACCTCGTAACCATCCCTCTACACCTCGTAACCAGTCCCTCTAACACCTCGTAACCAGTCCCTCTACACCTCGTAACCAGTCCCTCTACACCTCGTAACCAGTCCCTCTACACCTCGTAACCAGTCCCTGTTGGGGGGTTTCTTAATGCAGGGGTTTCTCATGAACATCACACTGGGAACACCACACACACACACACACACACACCACACACACACACACACACACACACAACACACACACACACACACACACCACACACCCATGTGGCATAGTCATACAGTAAGTACTTTGGGCCTGATAACGATGATGATGATGGTGTGTGTTGCAGGGCGTGATGATGATGATGGTGTGTGTTGCAGGGCGTGATGATGATGATGGTGTGTGTTGCAGGGCGTAATGATGATGATGGTGTGTGTTGCAGGGCGTAATGATGATGATGATGGTGTGTGTTGCAGGGCGTAATGATGATGATGGTGTGTGTTGCAGGGCGTGATGATGATGATGGTGTGTGTTGCAGGGCGTGATGATGATGATGGTGTGTGTTGCAGGGCGTGATGATGATGATGGTGTGTGTTGCAGGGCGTGATGATGATGATGGTGTGTGTTGCAGGGCGTAATGATGATGATGGTTGTGTGTTGCAGGGCGTGATGATGATGATTGGTGTGTGTTTGCAGGGGCGTGATGATGATGATGGTGTGTGTTGCAGGGCGTAATGATGATGATGATGGTGTGTGTTGCAGGGCGTGATGATGATGATGATTATGATGGTGTGTGTTGCAGGGCGTAATGATGATGATGATGGTGTGTGTTGCAGGGCGTGATGATGATGATGATGGTGTGTGTTGCAGGGCGTGATGATGATGATGAGATGGTGGGTGTTGGGCAGAGGGCAAAGTGATGATGATGATGATTATGATGGTGTGTGTTGCCAGGGCGTAATGATATAATGATGGTGTGTGTTGCAAGGGCGTGAATGAGGATGATGATGATGGATGGTGTGGTGTTGCAGGGCGTAATGATTATGATGAATGATGATGGTGTGTGTTAGCAGGGCGTATATGAGGATGATGGTGGGTGGTTGCATGGGCGTGATGGATTAATGATGGTTTGTTTGCAGGCGTATGGATGATGATGGTGTGGTTGCCAAGGGCGTGATGATGATGATGATGATATGGTGTGTGTTTGCAGGGCGTAATGATGATGATGGTGGGTGTGTTGCAGGGCGTGATGATGATGATGGTGTGTGTTTGCAAAGGGCGTGATGATGATGATGGTGTGTGTTGGCAAGGGCGTAAAGATGATGATGGATGGTGTGTTGCAGGGCGTGATGATGATGATGGTGTGTGTTGCAGGGCGTAATGATGATGATGGTGTGGTGTTGCAGGGCGTGATGATGATGATGGTGTGTGTTGCAGGGCGTGAATGATGATGATGGTGGTGTGTTGCCAGGGCGTGATGATGATGATGGTGTGTGTTGCAGGGCGTGATGAATGATGATGGTGTGTGTTGCAGGGCGTGATGATGATGATGGTGTGTGTTGCAGGGCGTGATGATGATGATGGGTGTGTGTTTGCAGGGCGTGATGATGATGATGGTGTGTGTTGCAGGGCGTGATGATGATGATGGGTGTGTGTTGCAGGGCGTGATGATGATGATGGTGTGTGTTGCAGGGCGTGATGATGATGATGGTGTGTGTTGCAGGGCGTGATGATGATGATGGTGTGTGTTGCAGGGCGTGATGATGATGATGGTGTGTGTTGCAGGGCGTGATGATGATGATGGTGTGGTGTTGCAGGGCGTGATGATGATGATGGGTGTGTGTTGCAGGGCGTGATGATGATGATGGTGTGTGTTGCAGGGCGTGATGATGATGATGGTGTGTGTTGCAGGGCGTGATGATGATGATGGTGTGTTTTGCAGGGCGTGATGATGATGATGGTGTGTGTTGCAGGCGTGATGATGATGATGATGGTGTGTGTTGCAGGGCGTGATGATGATGATGGTGTGTGTTGCAGGGCGTGATGATGATGATGGTGTGTGTTGCAGGGCGTGATGATGATGATGGTGTGTGTTGCAGGGCGTGATGATGATGATGGTGTGTGTTGCAGGGCGTGATGATGATGATGGTGTGTGTTTGCAGGGCGTGATGATGATGATGGTGTGTGTTGCAGGGCGTAATGATGATGATGGTGTGTGTTGCAGGGCGTGATGATGATGATGGTGTGTGTTGCAGGGCGTGATGATGATGATGGTGTGTGTTGCAGGGCGTAATGATGATGATGATGGTGTGTGTTGCAGGGCGTAATGATGATGATGATGGTGTGTGTTGCAGGGCGTAATGATGATGATGATGATGATGGTGTGTGTTGCAGGGCGTGATGATGATGATGATGATGGTGTGTGTTGCAGGGCGTAATGATGATGTGAAGTGTTTCTGCTGTGACGGGGGTCTGAGGTGCTGGGAGTCAGGTGACGACCCCTGGGTGGAGCACGCCAAATGGTTCCCTAGGTAACCACCCATTACATCACTGGCGTATTGGTCCAGTTCCTGCCTGACCTAGATGAGGCACCAATGGTTGTGTGCCACGTCATCGACTGGGCAGTTGGGCATCAGATTGATACATCATACTGTATGATGTGGTTTTAGCTAATATGTTAAACACTTATCCAGACTTTGTTAGATCTGCCATGTGTCTGCCATGTAGTCAGTCAGGAACTCAACGTGTGTGTGTGTTGGTTACTGCAAGTGCCTTCAGAAACTATTCACACCCATTGACTTTCCACATTTTGTTGTTACAAAGTGGGATTCAAATGGACAAAAACATTTTCAATTATATCAACGATCAACACAAAATGCTCTGTCAAAATTCAAACTATTGTAAAAATAATAATAAAATAAAAAATAATAATAATAATAGGAAAATAAAACACTAATACAGTATGTCTTGATTAGATCAGTATTCAACCCCCGGAGTCAATCACCATCTTTTCAAAAGCTCTGTCAGATTCCTGGATAAACAATGACATAAAACACCAGGCGAATCGACTGGAGTTGGTTACCAAGGAGATGGTGAATGTTCCTGAGTGGCCGAGTTACAGTTTTGACTTAAATCTTTGGCGAGACTTAAAAATGGTTGTTTAGCAATAATCAACAACCTATTTGACAGAGCTTGAAGAATTTTAAAAAGAATAATGTGCAAATGTTGTACAATCCAGGTGTGGAAAGTTCTAGAGACTTACCCAGAAAGACTCACAGCTGTAATCACTGCCAAAGGTGATTCTAACATGTATTGACTCAGGGGTCTGAATACTTATGTAAATTGCAAAAATGTAAATTAGATATTTCTGTATTTCATTTTCAATAAATTGCAAAAATGACTAAAAATATTTTTTCACTTTGTCATTATGGGGTATTGTGTTTAGATGAGTGAGAAACGATTTCATCTCATTTTAATTCAGGCTGTAACACAACTAAATGGGGAATAAGTCAAGGGGTCTGAATACTTTCTGAAGGCACTGTATTAATGTAACTATGGTAACCTCCAGGTGTCAGTATATATGCATGTGACTATGGTAACCTGTCAGTATATATTAATGTGACTATGGTAACCTGTCAGTATATATTAATGTGACTATGGTAACCTCCAGGTGTCAGTATATATTAATGTGACTATGGTAACCTGTCAGTATATATTAATGTGACTATGGTAACCTGTCAGTATATATTAATGTGACTATGGTAACCTGTCAGTATATATTAATGTGACTATGGTAACCTCCAGGTGTCAGTATATATTAATGTGACTATGGTAACCTGTCAGTATATATTATTGTGACTATGGTAACCTGTCAGTATATATTAATGTGACTATGGTAACCTCCAGGTGTCAGTATATATTAATGTAACTATGGTAACCTCCAGGTGTGTGTATATATTAATGTAACTATGGTAACCTCCAGGTGTGTGTACCTGCTCCAGGAGAAAGGTCAGGAGTTTGTCCATCAGATCCAGGCTCGCTTCCCTCGGCTCTTTGAACAGGTAACACCTGCTTATACACCTTATTCACGCCATAGTTTTATTTACCAACAATCACAACGGGGTAGGCCTGTTGGAGCCAAAACCAGAACTCTTCATAAAGTGTGACCTGTAGAAACGTCCTAAAGTGTAACTGCTAAACCTACGCACTATAACCAACGTATTTTATTTGGGATACCCTGAAGAGCTAGTGCATTGAGGAGTTATCTGCCCTTATTAGCCGTCTGGCAGAACATCGTGGTCACCGAGCTCCAAACTGCCTCTAGAAGCAACATCAGCACAGGAACTGTTCGTCGGGAGCTTCCTGCGTTGTATTGATAAAATGGAGGTCTCGTTGCGCTATCAACTCTGCAGGAGTTGTGTATATACTCCGCCCTCTCCCGGGATGAAGTCAAACACCCTGACCTTCAGTGCCACAATTTCCTGCTCGCGGAGGGCTACAGAGAAGAGGTCGCTACGCTGGGCATACTAACAGCTGATAACAGGCTACTGGGAAAGCCAAGACCTGAGATGTCCTCATTTTCCTCCACTCCGAGGGCCGTGCATCACGCTGGGCTGATGGGAGTCTCGCCTTCGGGCAGGCTATCTTCGGTGGACGCTGCTCGGAAGTGGTCGCTCACCGACGCAGAATGGAGTCGTCGGGACCTTTGTTGCTGAATCGCGGGACGATCCTCTCCTGGACCTGGCTGGCCGGACAGGGAGATACGTTGCAGTTCGTCGAGGGCGGCATCCTCCACTTTGTGAGCCCTCTGCGGTGACGGGATTTATGAATGGGCTGCTGACGTCGAATAGCTTCGCTGCTCTGGAGCCTGATGTCCCGGCGCCATCTTCTCATGGAGCGTCGGAGGTTCCTTCCAATCTGGCCAACGTTGTGATGGCCGGGGTCTACGGTGGGCTCTGCTTCACCGGGGTCTACGGTGGGCTCTGCTTCACCGGGGTCTACGGTGGGCTCTGCTTCACCGGGGTCTACGGTGGGCTCTGCTTCACCGGGGTCTACGGTGGGCTCTGCTTCACCGGGGTCTACGGTGGGCTCTGCTTCACCGGGGTCTACGGTGGGCTCTGCTTCACCGGGGGGGGTTAGAGGAGCCCCTAGTGGGGTCAGGGTTGGGCTGAGGGCTCCGGCTCGAAATGGACAACAGCCATCAACCATTATTATGGGAAGCTCCATGGTTAGATTGGTGGAAGTCCGAAATACCCGTACACTTTGTTTTCCTGGAGTTATCAGAAGTCATGCCCACCATCAAGAAACAGATTCCTGCTCTGAAAACAAATGTTGCGTATTGTGTCTTATGATATTATGAGTGTGAAATCTGTAAAGCTGAGAGACAATTTCTTGCAGCTCTTGGAGAATGCTCAGAAAATAGCAGAACATATAATTGTCTCGGGCCCAATTCCATCATCTCGCCGTTGTGGGACTGAGTGTTTTAGCCGTCTTTGGTCTCTTCACCAGTGGTTAATGCGTCTGACCAAGGACTTGGGCGTGTCCTGTAATTGCTGCAAAAGGTGGCTCTACAAAGTATTGACTTTGGGGGGATGAATAGTTATGCACGCTCAAGTTCTCAGTTTTTTTTGTCTTATTTTTTGTTTGTTTCACAGAAAAAATAAATAAATTGCATCTTCAAAGTGGTAGGAATGTTGTGTAAATCAAATGATACAAACCCCCCAAAATCCATTTTAATTCCAGGTTGTAAGGCAAAAAATAGGAAAAATGCCAAGCCACTGTAACTGCAGTGAACTCTGCAGATTGGTCCACAAATTAGTGGCAAAAAAACAAAACACTGATTTTCCCAAATCTGTGGAGACTGAAGGGATCTCTAGTGTTATCCATTCCTGAGAACGGGTTGGGTAACTTATGATTCTTAACTTAATTAATGGTTACATATGAGGGAGTTTCTGTAAGATTGCTTTGTAAATAAATAAAAGAGAATGCAGCTCTCTTCTTACAGACAGAGGTCCATCCCACATCGTTATACAGACTACAATGATGAGTCCTAAAATTGTCCCCTGTGATAAAACGTATTTGCGTAATGTTAGACTGCGCCCAAAGGTTTCAAAACAGAGGTTGCCGCATGCATGTTAACAATATCACCAAAATTCAAGCGTTGTTTTCGCCTATTTTCAATACTGAGGCATGATTTATTTCAATATAAAAAACAATCTCTGAGCATAGCTTCTTAGTCAGATTTTCAATATGCGTTACGAAGGACAACTTGTGGGTTCGATTCCCATGGGGGGCCAGTATATTTTTTAAAAATTGTATTCACTAACTGTAAGTCGCTCTGGATAAGAGCATCTGCTAAATGACTAAAATGTAAATGTAAACTTGTCATCAATCCAGACACCCAGGTCCTTACAGTTGAAGTCGGAAGTTTACATACACCTTAGCCAAATACATTTATACTCAGTTTTTCACAATTCCTTACATTTAATTCAAGTAAAAATTCCCTGTTTTAGGTCAGTTAGGATCACCACTTTTATTTTAAGAATGTGAAATGTCAGAATAATAGTACAGTGATTTATTTCAGCTTTTATTTCTTTCATCACATTCCCAGTGGGTCAGAAGTTTACATACACTCAATTAGTATTTGGTAGCATTGCTTTTAAATTGTTTAGCTTGGGTCAAACGTTTCGGGTAGCCTTCCACAAGCTTCCCACAATAAGTTGGTTGAATTTTGGCCCATTCCTCCTGACAGAGCTGGTGTAACTGAGTCAGGTTTGTAGGCCTCCTTGCTCGCACACGCTTTTTCAGTTCTGCCCACACATTTTCTATAGGATTGAGGTCAGGGCTTTGTGATGGCCACTCCAATACCTTGACTTTGTTGTCCTTAAGCCATTTTGCCACAACTTTGGAAGTATGCTTGGGGTCATTGTCCATTTGGAAGACCCATTTGCGACCAAGCTTTAACTTCCTGACTGATGACTTGAGATGTTGCTTCAATATTTCCACATAATGTTCCTTCCTCATGATGCCATCAATTTTGTGAAGTGCACCAGTCCCTCTTGCAGCAAAGCACCCCCACATCATGATCCTGCCACCCCAGTGCTTCACGGTTGGGATGGTGTTCTTTGGCTTGCAAGTAACCCCCTTTTTCCTCCAAACATACCGATGGTCATTATGGCCAAACAGTTCTATTTTTGTTTCATTAGACCAGAGGACATTTTTCCAAAAAGTACGATCTTTGTCCCCATGTTCAGTGGCAAACCGTAGTCTGGCTTTTTTATGGTGGTTTTGGAGCAGTGGCTTCTTCCTTGCCGAGCGGCCTTTCAGGTTATGTCGATATAGGACTCGTTTTACTGTGGATATAGATACTTTTGTACCTGTTTCCTCCAGCATCTTCACAAGGTCCTTTGCTGTTGTTCTGGGATTGATTTTCACTTTTTGCAACAAAGTACATTCATCTCTAGGAGACAGAACGCGTCTCCTTCCTGAGCAGTATGACGGCTGCGTGGTCCAATGGTGTTTATACTTACGTACTATTGTTTGTACAGATGAACGTGGTACCTTCAGGCGTTTGGAAATTGCTCCCAAGGATGAACCAGACTTGTGGAGGTCTACCATTTTTTTTCTGAGGTCTTGGTTGATTTCTTTTGATTTACCCATGATGTCAAGCAAAGAGGCACTGCGTTTGAAGGTAGGCCTTGAAATACATCCACAGGTACACCTCCAATTGACTCAAATTATGTCAATTAGCCTATCAGAAGCTTCTAAAGCAATGACATCATTTTCTGGAATTTCCCGAGCTGGTTAAAGGCACAGTCAACTTAGTGTATGTAAACTTCTGACCCACTGGAATTGTGATACAGTGAATTATAAGTGAAATAATCTGTCTGTAAACAATTGTTGGAAAAATTACTTGTCATGCACAAAGTAGATGTCCTTACCGACTTGCCAAAACTATAGTTTATTAACAAGAAATTTGTGGAGTGGTTGAAAAACTAGTTTTAATGACTCCAACCTAAGTGTATGTAAACTTCTGACTTCAACTGTATATACATACAGTACCAGTCAAAAGTTTGGACACACCTACTCATTCAAAGGTTTTTCTTTATTTTTCTACATTATAGAATAATAGTGAAGACATCAAAACTATGAAATAACACATATGGAATCATGTAGTAACCAAAAAAGTGTTAAACAAATCAAACTATATTTTAGATTTTAGATTCTTCAAATAGCCACCCTTTGCCTTGATGACAGCTTTGCACACTCTTGGCATTCTCTCAACCAGCTTCACCTGGAATGCTTTTCCAGCAGTCTTGGAGTTCCCACATATGCTGAGCACTTGTTAGCTGCTTTTCCTTCACTCTGCAGTCCAACTCATCCCAAACCATCTCAAATGGGTTGAGGTCAGGTGATTTGTTGAGGCCAGGTCATCTGATGCAGCACTCCATCACTCTCCTTCTTGGTAAAATAGCCCTTACACAGCCTGTAGGTGTTTTGGGTCATTGTCCTGTTGGAAAACAAATGACAGTCCCACTAAGCGCAAACCAGATGGGATGGCGTATCGCTGCAGAATGCTGTGGTAGCCATGCTGGTTAAGTGTGCCTTGAATTCTAAATAAATCACTGACAGTGTCACCAGCAAAGCACCCCCTCACCATAACACCTCCTCCTCCATGATTCACGGTGGGAACTACACATGCGGAGATCATCCGTTCACCCACACCGCGTCTCACAAAGACACGGAGTTGGAACCAAAAATCTAAAATGTGGACTCCTCAGACCAAAGGACAGATTTCCATCGTTCTAATGTCCATTGATCGTGTTTCTTGGCCCAACCTGGTCTCTTCTTCTTATTGGTGTCCTTTAGTAGTGGTTTCTTTGCAGCAATTTGACCATGAAGGCCTGATTCATGCAGTCTCCTCTGAACAGTTGATGTTGAGATGTCTGTTACTTGAACTCTTTGAAGCATTTATTTGGGCTGCAATTTCTGAGGCTGGTAACTCTAATGAACTTATCCTCTGCAGCAGAGGTAACTCTGGGTCTTCCATTCCTGTGGCGGTCCTCATGAGAGCCAGTTTCATCATAGCGCTTGATGGTTTTTGCGACTGCACTTGAAGAAACTTTCAAAGTTCTTGAAATGTTCTGTATTGACTGACCTTCATGTCTTAAAGTAATGATGGACTGTCGTTTCTCTTTGCTTATTTGAGCTGTTCTTGCCATAATTTGGACTTGGTCTTTTACCAAATAGGGCTATCTTCTGTATACCCCCCCTACCTTGTCACAACAAAACTGATTGGCTCAAACGCATTAAGAAGGAAAGAGATTCCACAGATGTGTTGTTACCTACCCTTCTGATGATAGTTCGTTGGTGAACTATCATGGTCCAACGAACTATCATGGTCCAAACACACCAAGACAGTCGTGAAGAGGGCACGACAAAGCCTATTCCCCCTCAGGAGACTAAAAAGATTTGGCATGGGTCCTCAGATCCTCAAAAAATTCTACAGCTGCACCATCGAGAGCATCCTG